TGTGACAATAATCTGAAGTCTGTAAAGATATTTAGCTTTCTAGCAGTAGTTAACTGCCTTCCTTCTGCATTGTCCCAATGCCACTAGCTAGTGAGCTAGCAACCAAAAATAACCCAAATAGCCCCAAGTATCTGCGACAAATTTAGTTCCATCTTTAAGCTATGGTATCATATGTTTTTCCAGTATTCAGATCAGGAAATCTAACTCTAGAGCAGTGGTCACCAACCCTGGTCATGGAGAATCTAGTTACAACCACAATCTACCACACTTGGTCCACCTAATTGACCTTTTAACTGTTGCCCCATTTTTGCTTGAAATGGCATACAAAAACTAAAAGGAGAGCTGTTCCCACATAGTTTGGGCTACGGTCATGATCTTGGTCTCATTTGAAAGGTAACACTGAAGTTTTTTTTTTTTCCAACCATCAAACTAATTGTATGAATTACTGACACAGAGTAACAGAGGCTTGAATGGAGGAGTTTATTTCCATGTGACATAGATCTCTAACTGATCTCTGACTCTTGCCGTGTTATCAGACCACATGTTTGGGATTATGATGTCTCTGTGGACAGTGGTCAGGCTTTGAAGGTATGGACCCAAAGATTTGCTTGCGTTTGCTCATTTGCAAATGCAATGATCATGGATAACGGATCATAAAATGGTTTGCAAGAATCAAATCCTGAGATTTCTAGCTTCTAACAATATATTGCATCACGGTATTGCTGAATAATTTGATGCATAAAAATTGTGTAAAAAAATAGAAGAGAATGCTTTGATGGAAGTGTGCCAGCTCTGGTACAGTAATCTAGATAAGGTTCTTCAGAAGCCCTTGATTGGCTGGGTCGGATGCATTGGTGTTAGGTTAGGAGGGAGCAGCATGTTGGATACAGGTTGGAATTTTTGAAAACCTTTTCTTTCAGAATGACTTCTTTCATCCTTTTCCCTTAATGATGATAAGAAACCTGAAAGCTCTACTGTGTATTCATATTCCTTGGACACATCTGCTGTAAATATGCTTTAGAAAGAAGGGGTCAGACGAGCCTAAAAAAGTAGATTTGAGTCACTTGAGCGTAGATTTTTAAACCAGTCCTGGCGCTGAATGTCTCTGAAAGAATATTTTTGCTCCAGTCTGCCACTTGAAGCATCTCTAAGCTGTATGCCATTCATGAAGGATTTGTGGAGGTCCTAAAGCTAGAAAGTTATTTCATGCTTACAAATTTGCACTGGTATATCACCACAGATGCATACAAGAAAGGCTGACAAATCTCCAGTCCTTTCAGTTATTACAGAAAAGCAAGCAAATGTCACAACAGAAAGGAAAGCTTCAACAACTCTTATAATGGCTTACTCTCTTTCTCCGTCCCCATCTGTCACGTGCCTGTGCACCCACGGGCGAAAGACTACACGTCTTAGGAAGATTAAAGCTTTCAAAGGTCAGTTATGTCTTTCGGAAACACACTTGGTCAGAATGGTCAAAGAATTACAAGGATAATAAAGTGAGCATTACTTGGTCTTAGTGAAAAGCACTTCTTGAAGACGCTGACACTGATTCAGCTTTAGAATAAGATAGCAGACCTCTAGATGAAACAATGGATCCTTTTCACACCACGTATGTTTGTAGACATCTACTCATTCAGTGCTTTTTTCAAAAATCAAGGGTATTAATATGGAATTTGTCATTTTGCAGCAGTAACAGCCACTAAGGGTCCATTGTTTCAGGAGCAGTTGTGGGCTGGGAACCAGACTTGTGACTAGAAGGTTGCCAGTTCGATCCCTTGAACCGACAGGACACGACTGAAGTGCCCTTGAGCAAGGCACCTAACCCCCAACTGCTCCCCAGGCGCCGTGGATAGGGCTGCCCACTGTTCCGAGCAAGTGTGCTCACTGCCCACTAGTGTGTGTGTTCACTAGTGTGTGTGTGTGTGTGTGTGTGTATGTGGGTGTTTTGCTGCACAGATGGGTTAAATGCGGAGGTCTAACTTTTATGTGTGCAAGTACCATTGGCCAATGGTTATGAATCTATGAATATTCTTCTGGCAAGGCTTTACACTAGATCAGTGGTCACCAGTCCTGGTCCTGGAGATCGACCTTCCTGTGTAGTGTAGTTCCAACCACAATCTACCTGCTCCACCTTATTGTCTTCTTCAGAAGTCCTTGATCGGCTGGATCAGATGAATGCGTGTTAGGTAAGGAGGAGGCAGCATTTTAGATGCAGGTTGGAACTCAATTCTGCAGGAAAGTAGATATCCAGAAGGAGGGTTGGTGACCTCTGTACTATATGTTAGAACATAGCTGTAAAATTTGATTGCATTCAGTTACAAGAGTATTAGTGAGGTCAGGTACTGATGTTGGATGATTCGTTCTACATCTCAAACACGACTGCAACTCATTCCAAAGGTTTCCGATGGTGCTCTATCTTTCCAGAGAATGCAGTTGCACCACAGCCCAATGCTCTAACCAACACTTTGGCCATGGTGACTTTGGGCTCCAGAGAGTCCTATTTTTTTTGTAATGCTTTTCTACGGAGATATTAAAAACTGTGTGTATTAGGGATACAATGGTACATGGTATGTTATTGACCCATTCAGTGCGCCTCCTATGGTTCAATAGCCACACGTGAGCCATGGTGTTACAATATGCTTGTCATTTTCCTATAATTTTTAAAACTTTGTTTACTGTGCTGCAGACTA